TCTGCAAAAACCACAATCCCATGAAGCATAGGGCTGTCCAACATAACACTCCATGTGTCGCATCGCAAACACACCATAATCTACTTTATTCTTGGCATCGCGACACGAGAGGCGAACCCTCCGGGGCGTGAACCTAGTGACCTTCAAAAACATTGCGGTGGCCTCCACATCCTCCAAGAAAACGGTCAAGAACTCATGCTATAAGACATTGTATTAATAGATTATGCAGCCTAGTCCTTAACAAAATGACAGTGTGGCTATAACTACACAAGTATATATTGAATATACAATTAGAATTAAATTGTTAAAAAAGCATACCAGCAAAGTAGGGATGTGAAGATACTTGTCTAGTGCGATATCACCAACAGAAGATACTTGTCTAATGCGATATCACCAACAGAAATGCACACACATTGTCGCTACTGCGCCCATACCCATCTCATATTATTCATTTTTAATATGCTCAAAATTAAAATTTCAAACCCACGATACTAAATCTACACAAATATGTTTGACATGCTTAACGCAATTACAATATCCCCTAATTGCACATACTATATCCCACAAAACTATACTGGAACGCACATACTATATCCCAAAGATGCATTTACCTTCATTCCAAATCGAAGGCAATTCTACCTATCCCCCTAAAACAATAGCAAAAAAAGCCCAAGCAAATATACAGATAAAAAAGGCAAAAAAAAAAAAGGCAAAATGCACGAAATGTGCTTGTAAAAGATGGTAACATGGGTGCAATGAACATAACTTACGCTAACATGGAATGCACACGCATAGTCACTACTGCGCCCATACCCCACCCATATTATTCATTTTTAAAATGCTCAAAAATTAAAATTACAGAACCAAACTACTAAAACTACACAACTATGTTTGACCAAACTTAACGCAATTACAATATACCCTGTATGCACATACTATATCCCACAGAATTTATATTTGACGCACAGACTATATCACTAATATGCATCTTCCTTCATTCCAAAATCGTAGGCAATTAAACCTATCCCCCTAACACATTTACAAAAACAAGCCCAACCAAAAAAATTCTGAAACAGGATAAAAAATAATAATAATAATAATGCAGCAAACGCCCCATAGCCCTAAACCAAAATGCACGAAATGTGCTTGTAAAAGATGGTAACATGGGTGCAATGAACATAACTTACGCTAACATGGAATGCACACGCATAGTCACTACTGCGCCCATACCCCACCCATATTATTCATTTTTAAAATGCTCAAAAATTAAAATTACAAAACCAAACTACTAAAACTACACAAATATGTTTGACCAAACTTAACGCAATTACAATATACCCTATATGCACATACTATATCCCACAGAATTTATATTTGACGCACAGACTACATCACTAATATGCATCTTCCTTCATTCCAAAATCGCAGTTAAACCTATCCCCCTAACACATTTACAAAAACAAGCCCAACCAAAAAAATTCTGAAATAGGATAAAAAATAAAATAAAATAATGCAGCAAACGCCCCAGAGCCCCAAACCAAAAAAAAAAAAAGAAAAAAAAAAACCACAACCCATACAAAAACACGGGGGCACAGATTGGCAGCCATTGGAGCACAAACCTGCGAGGAAAAACAAGAGGACAACCATAGACATGCAAGACACCCCATACTTGACTTCAGAACTCCATCACCCCAAAAACCCCCAATGTTGTAATAACTTACGATTAACCACAAAAAACCCTAAATCTAAACCTAAACCCTAACAAGTAGCTTGCCATACCCTGCCTTCCATTGGAGCAAACATTCGGCGAAAAAAAAAACACAAAATTACTGGGGATTGCGATTACCTTCGATGGAACCACCATTACCCCGCCGTTGCCTCTTCGATCGGCGTACAGTTGACGCCACCATGACGAGCTTCACCGCTGAGATTTTTGGATGGAGACGGAGAGAGGATAGAGGTCACCTATTGATGTAACTCTAAGAAAAAAGATATGCGCGGGGAGTAGTACTCTAGTAGATGGAAGAGACAGACATGGAATACAAATGGTTTAAATCTCATTGCAGATTCCAAGGCGAATTAAATACACCGTATAATAAAAAGCTAATGTGAATTTACAAAAAAAAAAAAAAAAAAAAAAACCCTTATGTTACAAATTAGCTAATACACGTGTTAATTTTCCCTGTTGATCTGGACCATTCATCTAAACTAATTAATGGTCCAAAAAGAGGCTCACGAGCTCATCTGCCAAGGGGGGTGCACCTGATCCAAAATCTATATATATATATATATATATATATATATATATATATATATATATATATATATATATATATATATATATATATATATATATATATACTAGTATTTGTCTCGTGCGATGCACGGAAAATACGTTGTAAAAATAGGTGTTTATTTCAAGATGGAATAAGGGTCAAATAGGCCACTCAACTGCACACAAAAATACAATTAGGCCACTGAACTAAAAAAGAATGCAATTCAGCCATTGAACAACACAAAAACATGCAATTTAGCCCAAAATGACTTGTTTACTTGTTGTAGAAAGTTACCCATTTTTTAATTAAATTTTAAAAATAATTTTTAATAAATAAATAATTAAAATTAAAAAAAGAAACAGAAACAGCCGGCCGGAGACGATTCGTCTCCAGCCGGCTTCGTCTCCATGGCTCAATTTTTTTTCTATCCTAAATCTAGTAGAAACATGTTTAACAGCAACATTAAACCTAAAATTGCTCAATTTCTGTAAATCATTCTGTTTGATATGCAGTAAGCTTGTTGAATGCAGCAAAATTCTATACCTCTATCTATTATCCTCATCTGCTATGTGTTCCTTTTAATCGTTTTGGCCAGTTGCTATACTGGCACAGAGCAAAAACAAAGCATTATTGAAAGGTTTGATTTCATATTTTTAGAATCATACTCTTTTTCAAAAGAAAAAGAGGATACAAAGTTTTACCAAATGTGCAGGCGTTTGGATGCCTTATCTCCAAGCAAATGTCTTCTTCCTCCTCTTGAATGCTTTCCTAGCTCCTCGCGAATGCTTTCCTAGCATGACGTATGCATCTCCACCATTTTCCTCTAATCTGCGTAAATTGATTTGTGAGGACTTATTTATAGTGTTGTAGGTTTATAGAATTTATGTGTATTTAATGTCTGTCTTGATGATTGCAAAAGTTATTTTAGTTGCATTCACATTTATATTTATGGCTTGTAATAATGATAGAATAAAAAATATCCTCATGACATTTAATCTGATAGTTTACGAATGGGATAACGAAAAGTTTCTAAAGCAAAATTTTGATATGCACCCTTTCAAGTTGCAAACATTTAAAGTTCCAAAACATATGAGATATCAAAAAGTTTCAAAAGCAAATAAACAAAAGCATTTAGTTAAGCTAAATATTCGTGCATCTAAAACGACATAGTTTTGTTTGGGCGGGAACTTTTTCTACTACTTCATTTTACTTTAATATATATAGAGAATAGAGAAGAGATATAGAGATAGAGATATAGGGGTCGTTTACTTCATTTCTCTGTTTTTCCATTTCCAGTTTTCCATTTCTCCATTTCTCCAATTTTTCTTCTCCATTCTTCCAGTTTTCCATTTCTCCAATTTTTCTTCTCCATTCTTTCAGTTTTCCATTTCTCTAATTTTTCTTCTCTATTCTTTCAATTCCCATTTCTCTAATTTTTCATTTATCTAATTTTCTATTTATTAAGTACAATCATCTCATATATTATTTGTACATTTTTATAACAAAAATAATAACAACAACAACCATAATAATAATAATATTATTATTATTATTATTATGAAGAAGAGGCTAATAATAATAATAATAATAATAATAATAATAATAATAGTAATAATAGTAATAATAATAAAAAACTGTAAAAGAAGCTAAAAAGCTGAAGCTAATAATAATAATAATTATTATTATTATTATATATTATTAGGCGCACAGCAAGGCCATTAGGCATTTAGGCGCACAGCAACTCAGCAAGGCCATTAGGTGAAACGGCTGAAGAGAAAAGAAAATTAAACCAAGGCGCACGCTTAGCAGGTTTCAAACTGGAGACCTTTCGTAAAGGTACTGTTCACGCGTGTTTTCCTCCATTCTTCCATTTGGAAAAGTCTAATTCTCCTTTCTCCAAAATTGTATAGAAAGTGGAAGAATGGAAATAGAGATTAAAATTGGAGACATAAATTTAGTAAACAAGTTTTCCAATTTTCCTTCTTCCACTTTTCCAATTTTCTATTTTTCCTGAAAATCCTCCATTTTCTATATTAATATTTTATATATATTTCACTTCCACGTTGCTATAAAAACCCAAAAAAAAAAAAAAAGAAGATAAAGACCGGATGAAATTCTGATCTCCTCTCATCGCTGTCTACTCCTTCGTTCATTTCTCTGCCGTTCTTCAATCGTGAATTGTGTGTTCTTTGGATTGTGAATCTCAAACTTGTATACTTTGTCTCTAGACATCTAGATGAGAGGAATACGAATTTCGTTCTTGAATCTGGCAACGTAGATTACTTCAAACCCTAATCTACGACGCCAGATCTCCATCACGTGTGCTTTGAAAATCTGTTCTGTCTATATCTTCCTTCGTATTTTTTTCAATCTATATACCGCTAACCGTTGATTTTTCAAAGTAAATCAAGCTTAATCTTCAAACCCTAATGTACGACAGTGAATCTCCTAATCTACGACTCCAGATGTACTAATCTGCGACCGAAGGTATGTTGTTTGTACATTGTTCTTCTACATCTCTGTTTTCTTTTTATGTAGGTAGAAATTCTCAATGTTAGATTTTTGCAGGAAATTCACTAAAAATTTTGTTAATCTAAAACCTAGGGTTTAAGTTTCAGTTTAAAACATAACTAAAGTTTTTCGATTTTAATATCCAAATTAGGAATCAATATAGTAGAATTCGTGGACCGTTGGCCTCTATGGACCGTTTCTTGGAATGAGAATATGAGTATTCCGACCGGAACCAGCCCTGAGTTGGCCTCACCGGCGGCGACCAATCGGTCGCTGGAGGACCAGGACCTACTGGAAAGAAGTACGAAGAAGACAAAAAGAAGGCGAGAACTACCAGTCAGCATCGCATCGCAACCAGGCACAGAGACGGTGGCGGAGACTCCAATGGGGGACGAGCTAATGTCGCCGGACAAGTGGACAACGCCGGCTGTGACTCCGAGCAATGCATGGCATAGGAAAGAGGTAACTCCTCAAACTGATCTTGAAATTGTCTCTGATGACGACGAGATGGACGAGGATGGCTTCGTCTCGGAACACCCAATTATCCGGGTAACCAAGGAAGAAAAAGAGAGGTTGCGCCGGCCATGGCGCCGGTCACTCATAATCAAAATCTTGGGTAGAACTGTTAGCTACCCGTATCTTCTTCAACGTTTAAGGAAAATGTGGAGATCGGAGGCCCACTTCGACTTGATTGCTCTCAGCCATGATTATTACATAGCGAAATTTGAATCGCTCAGAGACTATGAATATGCGAAATATGAGGGACCATGGATGATTATGGACCACTATGTGGTAGTTCAGGAATGGCAACCTAACTTCAGTCCACGGAAGAATAAGACCAGAAAAGTTCTGGTGTGGGTGCGATTTCCAGACATACCTATTGAGTACTTCGATGATGAATTCCTCAAGAAAATTGGAAAAACAGTGGGACGACCGGTTAAAATTGATACTGCTACGAGCCTTGCATCTAAGGGGAAGTTCGCAAGGATTTGTCTAGAGATCGATATATCCAAGCCTTTAGAATCGAAATTTGTCCTAAACTTTGAGGAATGGCCTATAGAATATGAAGGAATACACTCAATATGCTTTTCTTGTGGACGGTATGGCCATCGAACGGAGCAGTGCAGCCCGGAGATACAGGCAGAAAATGAACCGGGTGAAGGAAATGCTTTACCTGAGAAAAGGCAAATCAACAACCAAGTACCAAAAGAGAAATATGGTACTTGGATGTTAGTTACCCGAAAAGCGAGAAGATACCCAAAAAGGGACAACACATCAGGAGCAGGAGTACAAAGGGGAAGATATCAGTCTTCGCCCAAGCCTAACCAAGCTGCAGATAATAGTATAGGAGTGCAATCTAGTTTTGCCTCTTTGGATGGACTGGAGGATACTGGAATGGAGCATGATCAAAGAGAGCAAGGAAGGAGCCCGACAGCACAACAGACTGGACCTACACTGCCCAGAATTAGAACCAGACGAAACAAGACACCAGACCAAAATGAACAGAGAGGGGTGGCGAATGAGATGCCAAACAATGGGACACAAAGGGACATACCAAGGCAACCTGTAGCAGCCACTCGTGGAGGATTCAGAGGCCAATCGAGCCAAAGACCGATGCCTAACCGAGCCGCTGCTGAGGACAGCCACACAGTAGTAAGAGGATCAAACAAAGGAAAGAACATAACTACTACCCAGGTCCACCATACTGAGGACCACCCAGAATCTTCATACATGGCTGGACTAGAGAAGGCATACATGGATGATCCACCAGATACTGCCCACACCAACCGAAATGTTGATCTTGACGAACCACCGGATGTGGCCTTGCAGGAGCAAGAGGATTTTATGAATCAGGATGGTGATGTGGCACTAAGCCACATGCGCTCTTGAGCGCTCTTTTGTCCTCTGTTTTTATGATATTTATTGTTTGGAATTGTCAGGGTGCAGCTTCTAGTTCTTTTAAGCGCACCCTTCGTCAGTTTTGTAGGGATTCTAATCCCTCGTTGATATGTCTACTCGAGCCTAAGGTTTCAGGCAATCAAGCCAATAAGCTATGCAATAGCTTTGGCTTTGATGAGTGGATTAGGGTAGAAGCAGTGGGCTTTTCGGGAGGCATTTGGATCCTCTGGAAAAACTATATCAGCATTGAAATAATTAGGACTAATCCTCAATATATTTCTGTTCAGGTGAACGATTGCGAGATGGGTCCTTGGGTGTTATCCTTAGTATATGGAAGCCCTTGCCAAAGTCTTAAAAGGAAGATGTTTGCTGAGCTTTCGCATCAGAATCTTGATCCACAACCTTCCTGGTTAGCTGTTGGAGATTTTAACGCAGTGACAGGACATGAGGAAGTGAGCAATCCAGCAAGCTTTTCATCTACCAGATGCAGCGATTTTAATGATTGGATATTTAGGCAAGGCTTAATCGATTTAGGATATGAAGGATCGAAGTACACTTGGAAGAGGGGGACCAATACAGAAACGTTCAAAGGAGCTCGGCTTGATAGAGCTCTAGGAAATTTGGACTGGAAAATTAAATTCCCGGACGCAGCAGTAGTTCATTTACCAATGCTTTGCTCAGATCACTGCCCGTTGCTTGTCAATACCAGGAAAACCCGGACAATACCCGCAAGCAGAAGTTTTAGATTTAATATGGCATGGACTACTCATGCTACCTTTCATGCTTTGGTATATGGAACTTGGAGCACCAATGATGAGTTGAAGCCAAATTTGAAGAGGATGGCAGAAGCACTCAAAGATTGGAATATTAGCACATTCGGCAACATTTTTCATAGGAAAAAGAGACTGCTAGCAAGGCTAAACGGGATTCAGCAATGCATGACAGTCCAACCAAGAAGAGATCTCCTAAAATTAGAAACAAAATTAAGGCATGAATTTGAAGAAACTCTTTACCAAGAAGAGTTGCTATGGTTCCAACGCTCTAAAGAAGAATGGATTGTGTCAGGAGACCGCAATACAAGATTCTATCACGCGGCAACATCAGCAAAAAACAAACACGATAGGATTAAAGTTCTGAAGGATGAAAACGGGCACATACTTACTGATGAAAGTGAAATAAGAGAACACATTCAAAGATACTTCATGGCCTTATTCTCAAAGGAACCAAATGCCTGCTCACAGCCACTATTGCAAGGGGCTTTCCCGAGACTATCTACCACTGATTGGGCAGAGATTAACAAACCTTTTGGCGCCAACGAAGTTAAGGAAGCATTATTTGAAATGGCCCCATGCAAATCACCAGGGCCAGATGGGTATACAGCAGGATTCTATCAAAAAGCTTGGAGCTTAGTAGGAGATAGCTTGATTAAGTTCACAGAAGAATTTTTTAGAGACGGCAAGCTGTTTCAAGGATGTAATGATACCTTCATATCCCTGATCCCCAAAGTGGGCAACCCGGAATCAATAAAACAGTTTCGACCAATCGGGCTTTGTAACGTCGCATATAAGCTCATAACAAAAATGATGGCAGTAAGGTTAAGAACCATCCTCAGCAAGTTGATCGGCCCATTTCAAGCTAGCTTTGTGCCGGGCAAACAAATCACAGACAATATCCTAGTTTATCAAGAGGCCTTGAACTCAATGAAGACTAAAAAAGGAAAGGTAGGATGGATGGTGATGAAAATAGACCTTGAAAAAGCTTATGATAGACTCTCTTGGAGTACAATCGAAGACACATTGGTAGAGATTGGCTTCAACCAAACATGGACAAGGAATATCATGCATTGCATCTCCTCACCTAGGATGGCAATACTTTGGAACGGGCAGCAAACAGATTGGTTTCACTCGGGAAGGGGAATTAGACAGGGAGACCCTCTATCCCCTCTACTTTTCGTTTTATGCATTGAAAGATTCAGTCACATTATTCTTAACTCCGTTAGACAAGGTAGATGGAAAGGGATAAAAATATCTAGACTTGGCCCTTATGTTTCTCACCTTTTGTTTGCAGACGACATGACCTTATTTGGGGAAGCAACAGTAGAACAAGCAGTTGAAATGAAGAGGTGTATTGATCTATTTTGCATGAGTTCGGGGCAGAGAGTAAACTACCATAAATCGTCAGTGTTTTTCTCCAAAAATACTAATGAAGAGGTGCAAAAAAGAATCGTTGACACCCTCGGCATCCCTAAAGTTACCAACTTAGGAAAGTACCTGGGAGTCCAGTCCATTCATGGGAGGCTCAAACAAGATTCATTTGAAGGTATCATCGATAGAATCCGGTCCAAATTGACTGGTTGGAAAGCAAAATCACTTTCACTTGCAGGAAGACATGTGTTGGCACAGTCAGTCCTATCTACGGTCCCATTTTATGCCATGCAGACCACCCTCTTACCGAATGGAGTGATATCAGCCATAGAAAAATTAATCCGGAGCTTTATATGGGGAGGTGACAGTGATGGCAGAAAAGCTCACCTGGTTAATTGGGATACGGTAACCAAAAGTAAGGCTCATGGTGGGCTGGGAATTAAGAGGTTAGAAAAGATGAATCATTCTTTCATAGCTAAGTTGGGATGGAGAATCCTACAAGGGGAAGATAGCCTATGGATCAGAATTTTTAAGGCAAAATACCATCTTTCTGATGTTGATTGTCGATTGTGGCAAGCTAGGAGTAACATGTCCAATGCGATGAAAGGAATCCTAAAAGCCATCCCAATTCTGGAGAAAGGAATCAAAAGGCATGTGAGAAATGGACGCAACACTCTATTCTGGACACAGGAATGGCTAGAAGAAGCCCCACTACTAGAGCATGCAACCAGAACAATACCATCTTCTGATCAGGATCGACTGGTGGCCAGCTACTGGAAGGCAGATCTAGGTTGGCAGTGGGATGAGCTTACTCAGTTCTTACCGGCGGAAACACTAAACAAACTGGCTCTGTATCTCATTCATGAGGAAGAGGAAAGTAATGACAATGTATGCTGGAAAATGGAAGACTCCGGAGGATTCTCGGTTGCTTCGGCATACGACATTGCCACAGGAATGTTGGAACCAGTGGAAGCTGCAAAATGGAATAGCATATGGAAGTTGAAGGTACCCAACCGTATTCGAACATTTCTTTGGCTTGTTAAGCATGGCAGGATAATGTGCAACAGTAACAGAGCTAGGCGAAGACTAACTGATTGCGACAAGTGTGATTTATGCAACACCAAGACCGAAGACATTGAGCATGTCCTTAGGCGGTGCCCGGCAGCAGAGGAAGTATGGAAATCAATATCCCGACTTGATTATGAAAGAATGAAGGAGGCCCCCTTTCAAGAATGGTTGGAAGATGGCCTATCTGATAAAAGGAAAGGAAGAGAACCAGCAAGTAAAAGCACGCTGTTTTCCACAACCCTCTGGTGGATTTGGAAATGGAGGAACGAAAGAGTATTCAATGGATCATCGAGACCCTTACAGTATAAGATATCATGGATCAAGATGCAAGCCAAGGAGACAACAACAGCCTTTGATAGAGCCTTGGGTCGAGTTACGGCAGATGAGTCCAGCATTTGGAAGATGCTCTCATGGTCAAAACCGAAAGAGGACTTCGTTAAAATAAACATTGATGGCTCGGTGGATCTATTGACAAACAGGGCTTCTTGTGGAGGAATCATCAGAGACAATAGTGGAAGCTGGAAAAAAGGATTCATGTTTAATATGGGAAACTGCACCCCATTTGAAGCGGAATCTTGGGCACTTTTAAAGGGCATTCAGCTTGCCATTCAAATGGGAGTTAAAAAAGCTATGTTTGAATCAGATTCCTCTCTGTTGGTGAACTATATGACGGATTCAAGACAACCAACGACGGCCGCCCACAACATACTGGAAGGGTGCAAGAAGGAATTGCAAAGGTTAGAAGCCTGGGAGGTGACTAATATATCCCGTGAGCAAAACCAAGCAGCAGACAAACTGGCCAAGCTTGCGAGGAATTTTCCCAAAGGTGTCCATATACTAGATGATCCTCCTGTAGCAATAATGGGCATAGTAGAAGATGACATTATGGGATTGCCCTCTTGGCGCCATGTGTGTAATACAGTGTAAACTCTAATTGTTTGTTATGGGGTCTCCCCCCACCAAGATTTAAAAAAAAAAAAAAAAAGTTTCAGTTTAAAACAGTATTTCCCGGTTGGTAGTTGTAATTGGTAGCCTGAAATGTAGTTTCTTCTTGATTTTTGTGTGTTGAATGGTTATTGTTTGTTTTCGGAGTAAAATAGAGATTTTTGCACACAATATCAGTTACTTGTTATTTGAAATTTGAATCTATACAAAATTTTGACAAATCAATATTCACTGTTATAGTATCTAAATCAATTTTTTTTTTACATCTCTGCAAACTGAAGTATTGAAATTTGAGAATTTAAAATCCATACTATAATTACAACTCATTTTATTTACTTAAATTTTCATATAGACCATAAAATTTGAGGTTTAAAAGCTTCATACACCAATGTGAAAGTGGTTGAGAAGCCAGACACATTGAGAATTTAAAAACATGATGTATGAAGGTTTATAAAAATGGATGAATACATAGCTTTCTAAGGTTTATAACTAAATTTCTCTTTGTTGGATTAAAATCAAAATTTTGATTACAATTTTATACTCTAATAAGTTTCTATATCATGCCATTTGCATTACATTGGTAAATAGAAATGTATTTAAAGAATAGGCATGATCTTCATTCTTCAATGTGCCATGTCTTATCAGCATTTATAAAACCTGCATTTGGACAAAAGATAACAAACATAGAAGAATATATAATAATAAAAATATATGATAAGATAGTTAATTAAAATAACCAAGATCTAAATTCTATTCTAAGTCATGGACTTAGAGTTGAATTAAGTAGATAATATCCATAGTCAAGCTTCATACAGAGTCAAATTAACAATGTCCAAAATATTGGCCATAATCAGTAGCCCTTAGTCAACCATATTACAATCACACAGTCTCTTCAAATTTTCTCCTCTTTGATAACAATAGCTTTAGATCTTTTTGCATCCTGGGTAGATGAGAATTGGTCCAGAAGATTTCTTTTGGTTGAGCCAGGTTCAATTTGTTCACCACTGCCAACCTAGGTTTTAGAATTTGCAGCACAGCAGGACTTCTTTCCTCATCAGAACTATCTCTAGATTCATAATCCTAAGTTAAAAAATAAATTAGGATTTTTACAAATAATAAAACCAAACAGAAAACACATTGTATAGTGAAGAATTAAAAAATAAAGTAGGATACCAATCAATTAGTAACTTCTCTAGAATAACTCCTGCCATTAGATCCTCAAATCTGCTGAGCCAATCATATATTTGGCTATTTGGCAGTAGTGATTGATTTTGTACTGGTAATAGTTTTAGTTTGAGATGACCAGAAAGTTTTTTAGGGCATAGACTTTCCCTTATGTTAACTGATTTGTAAATTTGTACAAATTTTTGGGTATATTGCAGTGAACATAGGTTCTTTAAAAAAAATATATATATAATGAATGTAAAATTGAGAACTATGAACGGTAAATTAGTATGTATTACAAATAAGGCTTACCTCAGAATCGTGGGAGCGCATCTCTTGACTTTTAATCAGATTTATGTTTCTATCTTTGTGGACCATATAGTTTCTAACTAATCTTAGTCTGATCGCTTTTTTCGTATAATCATGGTTGAAATCTTTTGCTAAGATGAACAAAGGTGTCATTTTTACAGAATTTGCAATGTGTCTCTGTTTGAAGGAGATAGTGTAATGTTATTTTTTATGAAAAAGCAGAATGTGAGATGGGTTGAGGCTAGACTGTAGCACAATCACTGTTTTAGTCACAGTCACTTAATATTTGTAGTCATCTTTCTATATATTAAAGTCATATAGCCATGGCCAATCAAATGGCGGGAAAATTGTTTGCCACAATCACTTAATATTTGTAGTCATCTTTTTATATATTAAAGGCATATAGCCATGACCAATCAAATGGTTGTATTTTCCTGCCTCATCATTCTATAAATACTATAGTCCATAAATACTATAGTCCAGCCTCAACCTATCACTATCTCCTTCAAGCAGAAGTACATCGCATAAATGACACCTTTATTCATCTTAGGAAAAGATATCAGTCTTGATTATACGAAAAGAGCGATTAGAGATTAGTCAGACGTTATATGGTCTACGAAGGTAGAAATACAAATCTGATTAAAAGTCAAGAGATGCTCTTCCACGATTCTGAAGTAAACCTTATTTGTAATACATACTAATTTACTGTTCATATTTCTTAGTTTCATATTCATTATATATATATATATATATATATATATATATATATATATATATATATATGGGAACCTATGTTCACTGCAACATATCCAAAGATTATTTGGATAAGTTTGCAAATCTCTTCATAGAAGGGAAAGGAAAATTTATGCCTTAAAAACTTCCTGGTCATCTCAAACTATTACCCGTACAAAAGCCAAATACATGATTAAGTTAAATCATGAAACTTTAAGCTTAGCAATTTTGAGGATCTAATGACAGGAGTTATTTCAGAAAAGTTACTAAAGCCTAGGTTGGCAGATAGTGGTGAAGAGATTGAACCAGACTTAACTAAAAGGAATCTCTTGGACCAGTTCTCATCTACTCAGAATGCAAAAAGATCTTAAGCTATTCTTATCAAAGAGGAAAAAATTAAAAGAGACTGTGTGGTTGTAATATGGTTGACTAAGGGCTATTGTTTATGCCCAATATTTTGGACATTTTTAATTTGACTTTGTATGAAGCTTGACCATGGATATTATATACTGAATTCAATTCTAAGTCCATGACTTAGAGTAGAATTTAGATCTTGGTTGTTTTAATTAACTATCTTATCATATGTTTTTATTATTATATATATTCTTCTATGTTTGTTATCTTTTGCCTAATGCAGATTTTATAAATGCTGATTAGACATGGCACAATTGAAAAATGATCGCCTATTCTTTAAATACATTTGTACATTTGTATCTACCAATGTAATGTAAATAGCATGATATAGAAACAGATCATGCCCCTCTTTCTGTAATATATAGAAAGGTTAGATTATAAATTTATAATCAAAATTAAGATTAGATTATAAATTTGTAAGCAAAATTTTGATTTGAATCCAACAAAGAGGATTTTACTTATGAATATGTTTTCAGTATAGCATTATAAGGCTACTTAATAAGTATCATGCTTATCAACAAAAACAAGAAGTGCAAAAAACAATTGTGCTCATTTTTAAATAGATAACAATGATAAAATAGTTTTTAAATTATGGATGATAAGATTTACCTTTGAAACTTAGGTTTTCATCCAGTTAATATGCTTTCATACACCTTCAATGTATCTTGCTAATATGCCTTCATACACCTTCAATGTATCTTGCTTCTAAACCATTTTCACATTGATTTTTTACTTTTAAAATCTTTAATTTTCAGTGATTTTTTACCTTTAGAATCTTTAATTTGATGGCCTACAGTAAAATTTAAGTAAACAAAATCAGTTGGAATTATACCATGGATTTTAAGTTCTCAAAGTTCACTACTTCAGTCAAAAAAATAACCTTAGAAAGTTATTTCTTCATCCATTTTTATAAACCTTCATACACCATGCTTTTAAATTCTCATAGTGTTTGGCTTATCAGACTTTCACACTGATCTATGAAGCTTTTAAACCTATAATGAGAAATTGGTTTTTAATAAGAAGACAAATTAAGTCTAATAAAAGATAAATTAAGCTTTTAACTTGCATTTAAACACTGGGTTTGGTTTTCAAAAAAAAAAAAACTTGCATTTAAACAGAAAAAAAACACACTCAATTAAATATGCATCTCTTACTTGGGCTGAGAATATATTATTAAATTTGACAAAGAAAAAAAGGTAAATTATATCATGCACCGCTGTGCATAATCGATTATGTACCGCACATCAAAACGACGTCGTTTTATTTAATAAAAAGAAATGGAATCTGTTTTGCGCCGTTCTGCAAAAAATAACTCCGTTATTCAGTTTCATTTTGTATACACTGCAGTTTCAACATAATTACAGTTTCATTTCGATATAACTATAGTTTCATTCAATATTTATACACTCAAATATGTGAAAATGTTGTTTAATTTTATTTTATATATACTATAGTTTCATTAAAACACAACTACATGATCATTTCGATATAATTATAATTTTGTTGTACAATATACACTTTCATTTCACCCCAACTACAGTATCATTTTGAATTATAAAAATAATACGTGAGGCAGTGTTAGTTTAGATACACTGTAGTGTCACTTAGTTAACACTAACAGCGCGCCGTTTCTTTACTTAAAGAAACGGCGCTGTTTTGATGCGCGGTGCATAATCACTTATGTACCGCGGTCCACGATATAACGACTAGAAAAAAAGCCCTTATATCAAATTTTAGTTAATATCTAAAAAAATCCTACTATTAGAAAGAGTAAATACCCAAAATGGTCTCTCGACTATAACTAAATTCACAAATTGGTCTTCGACTTTCAATTTCAACCAATTTCATCCTTCCTTTGGATTCAATGTAGTTGAGTTCGTAACAGAGCGAAGAAGACGACGTGTTTCCGAACCGGTGCAATGTCATCCTGGAGGCTTCCATGTGCTCCGACGAGAGCTGCAGGTTTTTTTGGAGATCGTCGATGACAGCGCGGCCGTCGGCGTTAATGCAGAAGTGTTCGAAGGCCTGTTTGAAGTCGGGAATGTAGGGTTTCCATATGGGATTGAAGATTTCTGGCCGATTAGGTGAAGAGGAAGAGGAGCTTCTCCAATACCGGGAGAACGAGCGAGCCGATTGTGGTGTTGGATTTGAGGGCTTCGCCGGCGGTCTTCTGAGAGGTTGATTCTGACTTTCCCTTGCGGATCTTCCTGCTCGTAAACGCAGCGGTAGGCTTTGTCGTCGGCGCCGTGCGATGAACCATGAAATTACATATATATCCTCAAAGATCACGGTCAACAAACGGTCGAATTGATGGAGGATCAAATCGTGTCAAAATTGCAAAGTTAAGGACTTAATTGGTTGAA